TACACCTTCGAAGGACACTGTGACAAACCAGTATGGTATTAGCTTCTGAAAACAAGATTCCTTTCTCCTGGTAATCACACCCTTCCGTAATTCCCTATCCTTAAGTATAGACTGGACCTAGTGGCTTGCTTCTAATGAAAAGAATGTGGGGGGAAAATGATAGAATCTAACTTTTGAGATTCAGTTACCAAAAAAGGTGATTTTTGGTCTTGCTCTTTCTCTCCGGCTTGTCCCAGCTTGCTTGTTTTCATGAGGCAGGTTGCTGATGTGAGTTGCCCCATAGAAAGCCCCATTTGGCAAGAAACTGAGGACAAGCAAGAGCCATCAAGGAACTGAGGCCCTCAGTCCAACAACCCATGAAGAACCCTGCTCAACAACCAAGTGAGCTTAGAAAAGAATTGCTCCCTGGTCCGTACCTGAGGCCACCCATGACTACAGCCCATGAGAAGTTCTATAGCAGAACAACCAGCTAACCATTGCTGACTCAAAGAAACTGTGAAATGGTAAACATTTGTTGTTTTAACATACTAAATTTTGGGGTAATTCGTTACACAGCAATAGATAACTAATACACTCAGTTTGTTCTAAATGACAAGAAGCACTCACTTGTGAGATGTTTCGTACTTTATAGTTAAAACAGAAAAGTATTCAAATTAGTATACTTGACTAAGGAAAGAGGCAGGGATGAGCATAAAACCTTCCTGAATACATGTAGCAGAGAAATAAAAACATTACATGGCAGGATGGCATAGAAAAGAGGTTACCTAGAGGCACAAATTATATAGTTAGGTCACTAATTTCAAACTTGATCAAGTTGTATTTCTTCTCTGGGATTCAGTTTCTTCATGAAAAAGCTGAAAATGGGATTGAGTTTAGATCTGCTAACATTCTATAATATTGTGATCTGAGGCACTCAAGCAGGCCCTCCCCCAGAATCTTTCTCATTAGCAAACTCTATCATTAGGAAATTTATGTCTTAGTGCTTCTAGGAACTATCTCTGAAGTTATTACTCAAGGGGAGAAATTTTGGATGGTGAAATGAAGAGGGAGATTGTAAGAATGCCTTTAAGGATAGTGCAAAGAGGCAAGTTCTTTCTTACTCCGATGCAGTTGAAGGGTTGTGGTGAAGTACCAAAGATAAGCTTGGTTTGTTTCACAATGTTGAGGGGCTATCTTTCAGATGTATGTAACATATACAACTGGTCACTTTCCCTCTCACCTTGACTAAAGGAAGCTTAGAAAAAATCAAGTTCGGTCATAGCCACTGTATTAAATTTTATGGTCCTTGGAACCAGCAGATGGTGTAATGGTTACACCGCTGGACTCCCATTCAGTCAACAAAGATTTGAGTCATGGACCTGGCTGCTTGAAACTCATACCAGGCATGTGTGAGTGTGTGCCCAAGATCCTGAGAGGAGAACGGAAGAGAAGGGATGGCGGTGTGGCCATCGCCCCTGGGGGTATGATTTCTTATCTTCTGTCTCTCTGTCTCTTGGGCAAGCACATGTACCCTACAGCAAAAATCTCTTTAAAAAAGAAATTATGGGGCCAGCAGGTGGCATGGTGGTTAAGGGTGCTGAACTCCCACTCCCGCTTGCTTCCTCTTTTTTTGGAGAGGTTTTTGTTTTTTGTTTTTTTTCTCTTTGCTATAGGGTGCGTGTGCTCACCAGAAAGACAGAGAGAGACAGAGAGACAGAGAGCGAGAAATCACCCCCCAGGGGGGATGGCCACGCTGCAAACTCTTCTCCTCCATTCTCCTCTCAGGATCTTGGACACATGCGCCGGTGTGAGTTTAAGCCACTGGGTCCAGAATTCAAACCCTGGTTGACAACATGGGAGTCCAGTGACATAGCCATTACGCTAACTGCTGGTCCCCTGCTTGCTTTCTGACTTTCCCTCTCTCTCTCTTTCTTACTCTGTCCCTCTGTGTTCAAATTAAAATAAATAAAATTAAAATAATTCTAAAAAAAAATTATTGTTCTGGGGGCCAGCAGGTGGCATGATGGTTAAGGCGCTGGACACTCCCACATAACCACAGTTCGAGTCCCTGACCTGGTGGCTTGCTTTCTCTTTTTCCCCCCTCTCTCTATGTGTGTGTCTCTCTCTGGTCAAATTAAAATAAATAGTAAAAAGAGAAAATTTATAGTTCTTATGTTTGTTTTGTATTATTCTTCCCTGTCCTAGTATTTCTGCTTCCAGGTTATCATATGGCTTTTGTCACAGGAAACACAAATCCTTCATGAAAAAAGTTGGAGGCATAAATAGAGTAAATGCATACATATTTGAAATTTTTTCTCTTGTTATGATATAACAAGCAGAAATAGCAAATCTGGAGATACATTTCCATCTTATTTTCAAATTTAAAGTTAATTTGGTTTGGGAGGGCAAAAACAAAGATTTAAATGAGCATAATTTGGAAAACTTAAAAAAACACAAATTGCCACAATATTTGTACCGTTTTTATTTGTAAAAATAACCATCTGAATGCATTTCCATGGTATATTACAGTTAAGTACTTCATTATGTTATTAGAGCATTCAGTAGTTGCAAAAGTATTAAACTGTGCTTGAGAGGATTCAGATTGGTTCAAAGTCATTCACTGAACTAAAAGTCAAGTTCCTCATTTTTACAGTCATGACATTTACCAGAGTCATTCAACTCCAATTTACATAAGAAAACAATACAGACAAAATCCCACTGAAATCATCAAACAATATTTTATGCTGTTACAAATATGTTATGCAAAATATAACACTGGCACCAGATTTGTATCATCGTGCTTTGCAAAGATATATTGCACATGCTAAAGCATAAAATATGTAGACAAAACTATCAAACAAAAGATATTTGCATTGAATTTTTAGATCACTGCATAAGAAACGCATAGAATTACATTTTATACACACACTCAGATTGTCACTATCTTAAAACTCTTTTCCCCTATAATACTGACCTGTGACTTACAGTTTTGTAAGAAGAAAGCATTTCAGCACTGCAAGATCAAACGTAATTCCTATAGAAAACTTTAGCACTTTCATTTCAAAACAAGTAAAAGGGGAAATAGGAAAAAGACACTTTATACATTCAAAGAAAGGTTGAAATGAAAACTCACTGGTTTTATATTGCTCTGATAACACTCAAATGAATAAAATACAAAAAATTTCACAGAACATTTTCAGAATATACAAATATAAAAAGGCACTCTAACTTCATCATATTATAAGACAAAAAGGGGATGAGTCCTTCAACCAACGCAACAGATAAGCACACCAAGTTGCTTGACAATACAAAGAATAACTAGTGCAGCAAATCCATTTGATGTTCTTGTCCTAATGCAATAATAAAATAATAAATCAAGCAGCTGTTCACTGCCTAAAGTACCAAAACATACTATGGTGCCCTTTTAGTAGTGATAAATAGAAATCCCCTGAGCTATTTACTGTAGAATCATAGCAGATTTTAGGCAATTTGGAGATAGTAATGTATTTACCAAAGATAGGCAGACACTGGCGAACAGTTAAGTGCATGAAACATGATTCATGTGGCTGGGGTTAAAAGACAGTCGGAGAAGAACACATTTAGGTTAACCCTAAGCAACTAAGACTTAATTAAAAGCACAACTTTTCTGCTTTCGTTTTCCCTAGAAAGCTATCTGGCAAATATAATTTTATTTCTAAGATGTGTAATGGAAAGATGCAGAAACGAGAGTTTAGTAAGTCATTTTTGTAAAGAAAGAAAATGCTCTTGTGGGGACGGAGAACTAGAGACAGGAAGGGAGAGACAGAGATATTGATTGAGTCAATGAACAATTCATTGTGCACATAATCTCCTTTTGTTCCTTTGTCCTATCAGCAAAAAGTGGGGAAAAGTCAAAATGCAGCTACAAGGAGATAATGTGTCATGTCGATCGTGCTTTGTTGGAACAATTCTTGTGCTCTCTGCTAGTCTACAGGAAAAATGTTAATGCGGCTTCACCACTAAAGGGGCATTTCTTTTCCTGCTTTAAATGCCAACTGAGCAAGATTTCCACTCACTTCTAGAAAAAGACACCGCAGTATATTGTGCTTCTTCAACATTGGATCTCCCGCATTTTCAGTGTTTTGGAAAAGAGAAGGTCATTATTGCTCATTAGCAATTTATTTCCTTTTAAAAAATTCATGTTCTCTAAGCAAAAGGGAAAGAAGAAGTAGGGGAACACAACACCAAGAATTCAAAGTACAAAGTTGGTGGTGTTGAAATTTTCAGGGAAATTAATACCAGTCCTGTAAGTCCTTCGAGCGAGCTCTCATTTGTGAAGGATTCCACATGAGTTTTAATTAAACCCAGGATATTAAAGAGTACGATTAGTCTTTTACAGCGTGATGAAAAATATAATACAGTATCTGTATTTGATCCAGCTAGGATAGAACACTGTTTTAAAAAAATTCTCACATATACTATAAAATAGAAACTTCCAGGGTGAAAATGGAATGCATTATAAAATGTCAGAGAACTGCCCCAACGTGACATATTTTTTTCCTGTCTCTTCCTCAAGTGGAAAGTAGCACTTGAGCTGGTGGTTTTTATTTCTTCTCTGGCACATGGGCCCACACACTGACATAATTTCCCATTATGTTATTGGGGATGTGTGAGGTTTTCAATGTTATTTCTAGATCCTTGGTCACCTTTGTGTTTATGATCCACCACGTACTTCGGTTTTCATCTCCAAGAAGAGCATATGGACTGCAGTGTCTTCTAAGCTCTAAACTGGCTCCAGGCTGGGCGCAGCTATGGGCATTTGTTTTCCACCAACCAACCTGGAAGAACCTGAGGATCGGCTGGAAGCTGTGGCAATGGAAATGCTGGGTTTGTCCCCAGGGCTGTTGGCTAGCCCAGGGTCAAGTGTGTTTTTCTACCATTTTGTAATTTCCAAGGAGATACATAGCAATGAAAACAGAACAGACAATGAATGTTTCCTCGGCAT